GCATGGAATGTTTTTCCATTTGTTTGTGTCATGTCTGATTTCTTTGAGCAGTGGTTTGTAGTTCTGCGTGTAGAGATCTTTCTCCTCCCTAGTTAGCTCTATTTCTAGGTATTTTATTCTTTTTGTGGCAATTGTGAATCAGAGTTTGTTCATGATTTGGCTCTCAGTTTGACTGTTGTTGATGTATAGGAATGCTAGTGATTTTTGCACATTGATTTTTTTTTTGTTTGTTTTTGTGTTGAGACAGAGTCTCACTCTGTTGCCCAAGCTGGAGTGCACTGGTATGATCTTGGTTCACTGCACCCTCTGCCTCCCAGGGTCAAACAATTCTCCTGCCTCAGCCTCCTGAGTAGCTGGGATTGCAGGCACCTGCCACCATGCCTAGCTAATTTTTATTTTCAGTAGAGAAGGGGTTTTTCCATGTTGAGCAGGTTGGTTTTGAACTCTTGACCTCAGGTGATCCACCTGCCTTGGCCTCCTAAAGTGCTGGGATTACAGATGTGAGCCACCGTGCCCAGTCTTGCACATTGGTTTTATATCCTGAGACTTTGCTGAAGTTATTTATCAGCTTATTGATTTGTGTATGTTGCTTACTCAGCAATCCCATTACTGGATGTGCTTTTGGACTGAGATGATGAGATTTTCTAGATATAGGATTATGTCATCTGCAAACAGGCATAGTTTGACTTCCTCTCTTACTATTTGAATGCCTTTATTTCTTTCTCATGCCTGATTGCCCTGGTCAGAACTTCCAATACTAGGCTGAATATGAGTGGTGAGAGAGGGCATCCTTGTCTTGTGCTTCCGATTTTTTGCCCATTCAGTATGATGTGGCTGTGGGTCTGTCACATATGGCTTTTATTATTTGAAGTACATTGCTTCAATACCTAGTTTTATTGGAGTTGTTAATATAAATTGATGGTTGAATTTTATTTGAAAGCCTTTCCTGCACATATTGAGATATATCATGCGTTTTTTTCTTTAGTTCTGTTTATGTAATTATATTTATTGATGTGTAATTATGTTGAACCAACCTTTGCATCCAAGGATGAAGCCTACTTGAATCATTGGTGATAAGCTTTTTGATATGCCTCCTGCATTCAGTTTGCCAGTATTTATGACTCAGTTTGGATTAGAGACTTGTCTTGTTTATCCAATGTCTATGTGCTTTCTACTGAGCTGTCTTTGCTTATATGTAGGTGAATCAGTTGTAACCGGGGTTTTTTACTGGCTTGATGCATTTTGACTTTTTCTACCATGTAATTTACAGCTAATTGAGAGTGAACAACGAAGTCACTCTTGTACTTGAAGCTGCTTGGAAAACTGGCGGTTGATTAGATTTAGTTCAACACAGGGTGGAACTACAAATGGTTGACTACCAGTGCCAACAGTGGGGTCACATAGATTCCCCTGTCCATTGTTCAAATGACACAGTTGATCTCAATTCCTAAATTTATGAGCCATCTAAGCCCTTACTTTCTATCATAATCTAGGCTTTGAACAAATAGTTTTTGCTTCAAAATTCATATATATTTCCTGACGATAATCGATTTGAATGCTCCCACCTCATCCAGGTTTAAGCCATATCCTCATTACACAGATGTGTAGTCTGTGTCTTTTTGTAGTCCTTATACTCTTTTCTTTTCATAGTTATATTCTTGCATTGTGAGGGCAGACACAATTTCTGGGGTGTGAGACAGGCACATTTAAACATCAGTTGTGCCACTTACTCTTTTTGCTCTTGGTATATTTACTGAGACTCATAGTGCCTCAATTTTCTTATTGTAAAATAGGAATAATAATAGTACCATCATAAAGGGTACCCCATATAATGTGTCTAATATAGGGGGTTGGTATTTAGCACTCAAGAATTTGTACCGTCATTATTATTGAACAACATTGTGCCTCATACATTTTTGATGTTGAATGAACCTTTGTTGAAAAATAAAAAAGAATAAAGCATTCATGTTCTGACTGAAGCCAGATGATGATCCTAGATGAATTCTAACCCTTGTCAGAAATGTTTCACTGGCAAGAAGTATAGTTGAAAGAAGAGATAAGCATCTAGTTGCCATTTCGGCAAAGGCCAGTGAAATTAATTGCTCTTTCCTTGAGTAAATTGCTCTTCCCTTGAGTAAACAGCACAGATGTGAGTTTCCCACCTGAATGACACTGGTGTCTCTATATTGTGAGAACTGAAGGAAGTCGAGGAGGGTGCAGCTGTGAAGATTTCTGGGCAGAGCTAATCACAAAGCATTGCATCTTCCCTGACATCTTTGGGGTCTTCAGATTGGTTCTACTGAAATTTTGGAAGAAGGAAGGCTGAATCCCAAGGACAAACTTATGTGGCTAAGCACTGAGCATTGGAATGCTCTGAAAAAATACTTGGAAGAATTGGCTACAGGAGATTTCTCATCCAGGAGACCTTTAATCAACTTCTGTCTTGGTAATTGGATTTTGTTTTTCTAGTTTTAACAATGGCAGTCTAGTTCTTATGTCCATATCAAGGCTTTCAGATCAGATTCTACTTAAAAATTATAATGCTCTAAGATTTCTGTGAGTTCCATAGAAGTGTAAAAGGGGCTAGAGCTACTGAAATCATCCCACTCTTTCCCAAATCAAATTCCATTTTAGCACAAAATGAATGTGTTTACTATCTGTGATAATTTATTATCTGAACAAGTTCAGGCCAGAGTGAGGAGTCCTAGACACATGTAAAATTGGTATGTAGGAGAAGTACAGTTTTTCTTCTGTTAAGGTTTACTTCAGGTTTTTTTTTTTCTTCTGGAAACACTATATATATATATATATATATATATATATATATATATATATATATATATATATATAACAAATTTGCAGTAAGTTTATGGTAAATTAACATGACCATTAATTGCACACACACTAATTGAAGAAAACCCTGATTAAGTATTGTTGAGTTTGCAAAACATTAATTGATGACAAGTCAATAGTTTATAGCCCTTAATAGTGAGTTGTGTAAACTTTTCTTGAAGAGTTTGTAAGAACAACTTGTGACTTATGTAATTGTACGTAGGCCCTTGTTGAGCTTAAGGGTGACAATCAGCAAGTGAGTTTGATAAAAAGTTTAGGTTTCAAGTACAACACTTGTTTGAAATGTTACACCACACCTATTCAATAACAATCATTCTTAGGTGACTGTGTGTATGTCCATCTTTCTCTTCTTTTTTTTCTGAAACAGGAGTCTTGCTTTGTCATCCAGGCTGAAGCACAGTGGCATGATCTTGGCTCACTGTAACCTCTGCCTTCTGGTTTCAAGAGATTATCTGCCTCAGCCTCCCCAAGTAGCTGTGATTACAGGCGGTGTGCCACCATGCCCAGCTAATTTTTGTATTTTTAATAGAGATGGGGTTTCACCATGTTGGTCAGGCTGGGTCTCAAACTCATAATCTCAAGTGATCCACCTGCCTTAGCCTCCCAAAGTGTGGGATTATAGGGTGTGAGCCACCTTGCATGGCCCTCCTCTTTCTTTTGTTCTTTCCTCTTTTTTATTGGTTTCAGCTTTTCTCCTCATCCTATTCCTTCTTTCTCTCTCTCCTCTTCCTTCCTTTTCTTCTTCTCCCATCTCTGTTTTCTGTCCTGTTCCTTCTCCCTTTTTTCTTCCCTTCTCTCCCTCTTACTTCCTCTCCCCACACCCTTTTTCTGTAAATGCTTTATAATATCTAATATTGGTCATCATTGTAGATATTGAAAATGCATCCTCAAAGCATTTATTTTAATAGTGAAATGGGTTTAATGTTTCTGGAATCCTCACACTCAGTCATAAGAGTCAATTTTGGAAGGAGTGAGTTTTCTCTGTATTGAAAAATGGATTTAACTAGTTAATTAATTTATGAAAAAATAGGTTATAAATCCCACAAACAAGTAGGAAGTAAAGAATTATGAAATCATCATGTTAATATTATTTTAATAGCTTGCTGTATTGTCTTCTTTTTTAATCTGCTGAGTTTTTTGATATTTATTCTTGTTTTCCTTGTTCTGTTTGTCTTCACTTGGTTAGCTTAAGTTTTCAGAATGTTTGACTTTTGGAGATTTAAGAAACGAATTTTAAAGTTTTTTTCAGTGATACTTCATGAATCAATAAAATCATATAACGACAATAATAGTAAGTTTAAAATTATGTCATTTTTCACAACAAGCCTGAATGTATATTTAGTCCTCCTTTTTGGCAGATGAAAAACATTGAAGCACAGATACATAAAATCCATTAATATTATTTAGTTAACAGTAGTTATGGATTCAGGACTGTAAACAATATATTTGGATTTTAGGTCCGTTTCTCTTCTTTAGTCTTTTATACATTTCTAATTTCCCCTTCTCCTTTTTCTCTCCTACTCTTTTTTTTTCTTCTCTCTCTCAGTTAATGCTTTATGCGTGTTTATGTTTTTGCCAGCACTAGGGATACAAAAATTAATATGACTAGGTTGTAGTAGGGCAAGACTTTGCTCCAAGAACCCATAGTGTTGAACACAGAGAGATGATCATGAGGCTATGTGTACTGTAATGGCCATTCAACATGGCCTTTGAGGTTGGACAAATGTAGCAGCACCATTTTCAGCCTTGAGGACACCAAGAAGCTTCCAGATAGGCAACATGGAAAAAGGGATGGCTCAGGAAAGAAAGAAGTTCTCTATGTGCTTGGTCTTTTTGTATGACTTAAAATTGGCAGAGCAAATTGGAATTTTCTCTGCTAAGTATGTGCACCCGTTGTCAGGTGAAGTATATCCATCTTGGTGTACCCGTAAATGCGTTACACATATGGCCACATCATGGAATGGCTCTTGAAACTTGACATTTTGTATTTTTATTTTTATTTTCTGATTGTAAAAGTTACACATTTTTACTGTAGAAAATTAAAAACCAGAAAATTATAAAGAAGAAAATGCATACTATTAATACTTACATTGTCAAATGTCAAACAGAAACAAATAAACAATTGACATGGTTTTGTGTTTGTTTTTACTTATTGTAAAGCTAGAAAACATATGACATCAAAGATATATTTATTCACTAAGTGAAAGCCTTATTGTTGAGGATGAATATGACTTATTTTTCAGAGCAGTCACCTGTCACCTGAACACAGCTGATGATGAGGATGAATAATGTGACTGAGTTTATTCTCCTGGGCTTGACTCGAAATATGGAGCTTCAGAAATTTTCATTTGTTGTGTTTTTGATTGTCTACTCGGTCACCTTGGCAGGCAACCTGCTCATCATCCTTACCATTAGCACCAGCAGGTCCCTGGCATCCCCCATGTACTTTTTCCTGTTTTACTTATCCCTCATGGATGGCTGCTGTTCTTCATGCATGACCCCCAAAATGCTAGCTGATACTCTTTCTGTGAAAAAAACCATTACTTTTAGGGGGTGCATGACTCAAGTCTTTGCTGGGCATCTTTTTGGTTCTGCTGAGATTGTGCTTCTCACGGTGATGGCCTATGACCGCTATGTGGCCATTTGTAAACCCCTGCACTACATGACCATCATGAACCAACAGGTGTGTAGATTCCTTGTGGGAGCAGCCTGGGTTGGAGGCTTTGTTCATGCAACAATTCAGATCCTCTTCACAGTCTGGCTACCCTTCTGTGGCCCAAACATCATAGATCACTTCATGTGTGACTTGATCCCTCTGTTGAAACTCGTCTGCATGGACACTTATACCCTTGGTCTCTTTGTTGCTGGCAACAGTGGATTTGTCTGCCTGTTGAACTTTCTCCTCTTGATTGTGTCTTATGTGGTCATCCTATATAATCTGAAATCTCACAGCTTGGAGGGGAGGTGCAAAGCCCTCTCCACCTGTGTATCTCATATCACTGTAGTCATCTTGTTCTTTGTGCCCTGCATATTTGTGTATCTACGTCCAACAACCACCTTCTCCATTGACAAAGCGGTAGCTGTGTTTTATACCATGATAACTCCTATGTTAAACCCTTTAATCTACACCCTTAGAAATGCAGAGGTGAAAAATGCTATGAAGATGCTCATGGTTAATATGTAATTTCTCTGCCACTGCTGTGATATGTAATACTCTGATCTGACTGAAGTCTATAAGATTTTTGGGAGCTGGAGCACCTCCTAACATGCTCATTACTGTATTTCTCTCCTCCTGGTTTTCTAATCTCCTTTGGCCCTTTGTCTTTTGGTCCTTGAGGCTGATCCGTTTGTCAGTCTAATTCTATCATGACAAACCCTGTTTCAAGGACCAAAGAGTGACTTTATTATGAATCTGAAATCAACAAAACAGGCAATTAGAGTATGGATAGACAAAATAAAGTGAGAAATTTGTTCAGAAAAGGTAGTATGCTGCAGAGGTAAGAACAGATTCTAGAGTCAGTTTCCCGGGTTTGACTGTGACCTAGGAAAGTTACTTAACTTGTTTATTCTCACATTTTCTTCATTTGTAAAAATATTAATGATAGTATCTCTCTCAAAATGTTGTTGGGACATTTAAAGTGGTTAGTATTTGTTAAGTGTTTATAACAGTATGAATGGTAAATATTGCAAAAGTGTTTTGTGTTTGTTTTTTTTGAGACAAGATCTTGCCTTGTCACCCAGGCTGGGATGCAGTGGCATGATCTCAGCTCACTGCAGCCTCGACTTCCCAGGCTCAAGCCATCTTCTCACCTCAGCCTCCCTAGTAGCTGGGGCTATAGGCATGAGCCACCACAGCTGACTTATTTTTGTTTTTAGTAGAGATGAGGTTTCACCATCTTGCCTAGGCTAGTGTGGAACTCCTGGGCTCAAGTGACCTGCCCACCTAGGCCTTCCAAAGTGCTGGGATTATAGGAGTCAGCCTAAAAGTATTTTTAAAAGCCAAACATACTGACTAGTGCTGACCCAACTTCCATTTGGGGCCAATTTTGCCTTATGTCTCCTTCAGAACTAGCAGGATGTTTGTTTTTTTCTGGATCGGGATCTTTATGGGTCTCGCCCTGGTCCTCGTCTCCTTAGATGGAAAAGACACCTTCACGTGTGGCCAATATTATGTCATATCACTGTTTCCTTGGACTTCAGGCAAGGGCATGATTGACTTTTAGGGTGATTCTTTAACCTCTGGAAGTCCTGTTAACAGCAGAGTTTTGGATGATGTGGAAGAATTTGACTGTGGTGTCAATAGAGCTAGGATGGAACTCTATCTCACTAGTTCACGTAACATTGTATGTATTTCACATCTCTCAATATCTTATTTTAATCTTTGTTTATATGTACAATGAAATGGTAGTACATATTTCATAGGGTTATTTTAAGCCTTAGATGAGACACTATGTGCAAAGTGTCTAGGATAGTACTTGTCACTCAGTGGATGCTTAATAAATGTCACTGTTTTTGTTGCCTTTACTTCATCATCAGTGTCTTATTTCTGTCTGCTTTGGAAAAAAACTACATGATTTATAGATATTCAACTGTGTGTAGGTATTATATTAGGAAGTCATGAGGAACTTTCTGATTCCTGAGCGTAAACCTCCCAAAATTAATGCAGGATGGATGAGATTAAGCCTGAACAATTCACCTTAGAAGTCTGAATGTCTCTTTTTGCAGCCAACAGACCCATGAAAAAATGCTCATCATCAGTGGTCATCAGAGAAGTGCAAATCAAAACCACAACAAGATACCATCTTACACCAGTTAGAAAGGTGATCATTAAAAAGTCAGGAAACAACAGATGCTGGAGGGGATGTGGACAAATGGGAATGCTTTTACACTGTTGGTGGGAGTGTAAACTAGTTCAACCATTGTGGAAGACAGTGTGGCAATTCCTCAAGGATCTAGAACTAGAAATACCATTTGACCCAGCCATCTCATTACTGGGTATATACCTAAAGGATTATAAGTCATGCTACTGTAAAGACACATGCACAGGTATGTTTATTGTGGCACTATTCACAATAGCAAAGACTTGGAACCAACCCAAATGTCCATCGATGATAGACTGGATTAAGAAAATGTGGCACATATACATCATGGAATACTATGAAGCTATAAAAAAGGATGAGTGCATGTCCTTTGCAGGGACATGGATGCAGCTGGGAACCATCATTCTGAGCCAACTATCACAAGGACAGAAAACCAAACACCGCATGTTCCCACTCATAGGTGGGAATTGAACAATGAGAACACTTGGACACAGGACGGGGAATATCACACCCCAGGGCCTGTCATGGAGTGTGGGGTCAGGGTGATGGATAGCATTAGGAGAAATACCTAATGTAAATGATGAATTGATGGGTGCAGCAAACCAACATGGCACATGTATACCTATGTAACAAGCCTGCACGTTGTGCACATGTACCCTAGAACTGGGGGAAAAAAAGTCTGAATGTCTCCAAAATCAAAATCAGGCTAAAGAAGACATAAAAATTTAATAGAATCCTTAAGACAAACAAGAAAGTTATAGCATAATAATCAAAAATTTTAGTAAAGTTTATTAGTATTTACTACAACGTGGTTCATGCTAGAAAGTCATTGTCTTGTTAATCTGCACAAGAGCCTTATGAAATAGATACTGTTTTTCTTGATTTCTAATACAATTGGATGAAGCTGGGAAAATTTAAATAAATTACTTTAGTCACAGAGGAAGCAAATACCTGAGGTAGGATTTAAACTCATGTAGTTTTGCTTTAGAACTTACACTTTTAGGCAGTATGGTATATAACAGAAAAATGACACACATTTGAATAAAGAAAAATTCTAGTCAGGTCAAGGAGCAATAAATAAACATTTTTAAGAAAGAATAAATTTAGAGTGAAAAGGGCTTAAAAAGGTGAAACCTGTGACGTGATCGAGAGCAACTCAGAAGACAGGGTGGGGGTTCCTTCAGAATGGGTGTGAAAAAGATTTTAGTGCAAGAATTTAGTGTTTAACCTATCAGGGTGAGGAACAATGAACTGAAAGTCATAAGTAAAACAGTAGAGAGAAATTTATGTATGTTGAGGGGGAATATTATCTGACCTGATGCAACTCTTGTCTTCAATTTCTCTCTTCTCTTTTGACCTTAATATCACCAACTAAATGTATCATATTATAATTAATTCATCTCTAATTAAAATCAGGATGAAGCAAAATCAAGCATATGCATCCAAGCAACCACTTTTCCCAGAAACCTTTGTGTGTGCCTCTGGCAGTTGCTGTTTTTGATGGACTTTTTGGTGTAGTCAACGACATTGATCTCCATTTTGCCTCTATGTGACTATTGTTTTAAAATTAATTTCTGTTTTTTCCCATGTAAAAAATTCACTTAGTGAAGTTGAGCTAGGTTGATTGGTAAAAGGAAAGCTATTTCACCAATTGTAATTGATGTTTTCATACCTTGTCAGAGTCTGTACAATTGTTTCCCACTCAAATATGTATCTAATCTCATCCAGCACCACTCTCTCACTTGTTCACTGTGCTCCAGCTGTAGTGACCTCATTCTTGCCCTCGGGCCCTTGTACTAGCTCTTCTTTATTCCCCAAATGCTCATCTTCTAGAGCTTCACATGGCTGTGTCCTTGTCATCACTCAGTCTGCAGTTCAATTTGTCCTCCTTAGAGGTATTCTTGATCCATCCGTGTAAAGGCATTCTCTATCTCTTTGAGTTATCTTCTATCACATTACTTTGTTATATTTTATCTACAACATTTTCACCATGCAATTGTCAGATTTAATTTTTTTTTTTGGTCCATTTTTTCCAGTTAGAATTAAAATCCACGAAAGTAGACGTATTGACTGTTTTGTTCACTATGGCATTTCCAGCACAAGAAATGCCCATGCATTTATTCTATGTCAAGCCTATTCTGTGTCAAGAATGGGCTGTTATGAGCAAATGTAGTTTTCAAAGGGACCCTTGCTAACAAGAATGCTTCTGCAATTGATGGCTTTCCATTCTTGGTGACAAATTGAAATAGAGAATTTTAGATCAGTTTAGTATATCAACCACGCTTCTTAGGTGATGACACAGAATTATCTGTAGCTAGTTTAAGTAAAGGGATTTGTTATATGCAATTAAGTTGTTTAAAGAACATTTGGAAGGGTTAGAATGACAGAGTCTGACATGAATGACCAGGAATAACTTGCAGAAGCACATCTGTTGGGACAGGTGCTACAAAGGAGCCGCTGCCCCTCTGATACCATGGTTATGCTGCCATGGGCACATCTCCACAGGTGCTGCTCTGTTTCTGACCGCAGAATCACTTCGACTTTGTTGACATAGTCAGAACCCAGCCTCAGATAACTAATTTCCAACTCAAAGACTTGCACGGAGGCTCCTGGTTCGTATCTCTCAAGTCACGTGTCTAACCTTCTGGGACTAGCATTGTATAGCATATGATTTGGTAGCAAATCTCAAGCAGCTCTTCTACCTTAATTTGAGATGCTTATTAATGGAAGATTCCCTCAATTGAAAAAGTGCTTCTCACTTTACTTTCATTTTTACATAATATTTCTATTTTTTTGTATACATTTAAGTCATACAACATAATGTTTTGATATACATGTACATGGTGAAACTATTACTACAGGTATGTACTTTTACATATCCATCATCTCACATGGTTATCTTTTTGCGTCTTAAATTTTTTTTTTTTTTTTTTTTGGTAAGAGGACCCAAAACCTCTATTCTGTTAGAAGATTTGCAGTATACTATTGTGAATAGTGCTGCAATAAACATACGTGTGCATGTGTCTTTATAGCAGCATAATTTATAATCCTTTGGGTATATACCCAGTAATGGGATGGCTGGGTCATATGGTACATCTAGTTCTAGATCCTTGAGGAATCGCCATACTGTTTTCCATAATGGTTGAACTAGTTTACAATCCCACCAACAGTGTAAAAGTGTTCCTATTTCTCCACATCCTCTCCAGCACCTGTTGTTTCCTGACTTTTTAATGATCGCCATTCTAACTGGTGTGAGATGGTATCTCATTGTGGTTTTGATTTGCATTTCTCTGATGGCCAGTGATGATGAGCATTTTTTCATGTGTCTGTTGGCTGTATGAATGTCTTCTTTTGAGAAATGTCTGTTCATATCCTTTGCCCACTTTTTGATGGGGTTGTTTGTTTTTTTCTTGTAAATTTGTTTGAGTTCTTTGTAGGTTCTGGATATTAGCCCTTTGTCAGATGAGTAGATTGCAAAAATTTTCTCCCATTCTGTAGGTTGCCTGTTCACTC